TGGATATTCAGATTACGACCAGATGCAACATGTGGTCTTTACTCCAAGAGGCCGCACTCTACTTCAACCAGAGCAACATCTCCACCAACATCATCCCGAGCTCCTTAACTGTTGACTCAACCTATCCAACAGCAGGGCTGGTCCAGTCCTTCTCAGTCCAGAAATGCCACCTGTTAAAGTCCTAACCTAAACCTATCGTTCTCCCCGTAAGTAAACATCTGTCGATACTCATCTGGATTGAATATCTCAAAAGTCTTCCTTTGGAAGGAGGAAGGGCAGAAAAACAGAATCAACAATTGGCCGATCCTGACTCCACACCCCGTTGCAAAGCCAACCCCCATGACTAAGAAAGATCCATGTTCTACTGGCAACTTGAAGAGCATACGGGGTTCGCCAAAATTTCACCAGGGAGAATGAGCCTCCAGCAAGAATTGTAGCGCTCTGTCCATTCTGCCAAAGTTAGAAGGGGTTGAAACCAAAATTTTCCAGGGACGAAGCCTAGGTGGGCAATCCAGGAAGACCCCCCCACTGACCAGCATAGAGTCCACCTTGAAAAGGGCTGGCTAAAGCATTCCATACAGAAATTGTGAGCTGCAGCATGGAAAAAGCAAGCAAGCAAACACACGGAAACAAAATAAATCTAACCTGACACGCTAGCATTATGAAAGGAGAGCAAACACGGTGCGACTAATAAAGAAGAACCTTTGTAGCTCGGGGTTGACACGAGGGGTTCCTTGGTGCTCTTTTGAGCTTGCTTGTCCCAAACTAGGCCACATCGCCAGTGCTAGGTGATGATGTTGGCTAGTTTGGGTCATGAAACAAGCTTGGGTTTGCGAGAGAAGAAGCGAGCTCAAGAAACATGCTGCCCTTGCATAAAAGTCCAGGGCAGGGCCCTGCATTTTTCTTGCCAGAAAAAGCAATTTATCACTCTGGTTTCTTTTTGGGAGCAAAACCAGGGGCTTCTCCTGTCCAAAATTCAGCCAGCTCCGACCTTGATTAGCTCTTCAAGGCCTGCTAAGATTAAGTGAGCAACTTTCTTTAGGGCCTGTGGGCCCGTGTGAACGACTCGCCAAGGCCACCGGCCTCCCCAGGGGGACAAGTCCCACACTAACAAATCTAAACACACGCAAGCAGATTTCCTTTTCGGCTAATTAAACAGCCTGCGTGGATCCGTAACAGGTTTTCCTTTAGAAGGGACAGGACAGGCCGAATGACATTTTTCATTGGCGCGTTTGAGAGACCACAAGTGTGTGTGTGGGGGGGTGTTTTAGGGTTGAGTTTCTCTCCCCCCCCTTGCAGAGTCACACGCTGCTTCCCCCTCCCTCTCGAGATAAAGAAAAGGAAAAGAAACAGCTCAAGAGAAGCCTTTGCCTGCTTTGCCGTACCACCTTGTGCAATTCCACCAAAAATGAAAAGGGGGAGAGAGAAAAATCACACACGCACACACAAAAACAGCACACAACAAAATCTCCCCGATGGATTCCGCCTTGGGAAGGCCAAATGAAAGTCACTCCCCGACCCCTCTTCCAAAAAAAAAAAAAAAAGGAGAAAGCCTGATGAAATCAAGAGTCCAAACTTTCAAAGGCTCCTTGTAATTCTTCTTTTGAGAAAATAAATAAAATAAATAATAATAACAATAACAACAAGCAGAACAACTGGGCTGTCTTTGTTTCAATGGAATGGCTCCGCTTCTGAGCAGCGCAAGCAACAACTTGCTAGATTCTTGGCTCAGGATAGGAGATGGGTAGAAACTTCCCTTCTTACCAAAAAAAAAAGGAGGGAGGGAGGGAGAGAGAGAAAGACAAGAGAGTGGGGAGAAAAGAGTTGGAAGGAAACCACGATTATTTCTTTCCTACCTTTGCAAAATAATAATAACAACAACAACAAATAAACAAAGCTATCTTTTCTCCCCAATGCTACAGATCCTCGCTTTGAGTCAATTCTGGCAAAAAAAAACACCCTGCAGAGATCACATTTAATAACAGGCGACCCGTCCTTTGAAGCATTCGTCAGTCTAATGATTCAGAAAATAACCTTGGGCTATTAAAAAGCCATAGCAAGATGGGCAGGGCTAATTGTTTGGGAGCTGGTTGGGGGAGGGGTTTTTTGTTTTTGTTTTTGTTTTTTGGTCCAAGTGGAAAGGAAGAATTTATTTGTTTTCGCTTTGCAGCAAACAAAAGACACCAGTCTCGTTTTTAGGCGGGACTTCATTCCTAAATAGAGTTTGGCATAGCCCCAACCAGAAGAAGGTTTTTAAAACTGACAAGAGCTTGGTGATGTTTGTGGCTGGAGTTATAATCCGGGGAGGGGTTTTTAATACCCACCGAACCAGAAAAGTCATCTTCTGTTTTTTAAAGGGCCTGTCTTCGTAGCAGAGTTGGCGAGGGAAGGCACCCACTGAAAATAGGGGGGGACAGGTTGAATGGCACCGCCTGTTTTTCTGAACAGGATAGCTTTGGAAAAACTCCCATCTGTTTTGGATGTCCCCAGATAAATGGTCCCCCTCCTGTATTGAAATAGGCACACCCCATCAAATAAAGTCACCGGTTCTGGGGAGACAGTGCTAAATGACTTCCTCTCCTCTCCCAAACTGTAGGACCAAAGAAAATTCAAGACATTTACTTTGCAGAACTGTAGGTTAGATTTCTCATAGCATAAAAAAATAAGTCAATGTCAACAAGACGGCAAGTCAATTTCAACAAGGCAAATCAATGTCAACAGGGCAAATCAATTTCAATAGAGCAAGTCAATGTCACCAGGGCAAGTAAATTCAATAGAGTGAGTCAATTTCAATTGAGCAACTCAATGTCAACAGGGCAAGTCAATTTCAAAGTCAATTCAATAAGGGCAAGTCAATGTCAACAGGACAAGTCAATTTCAATAGGGCACGTCAATT